CACATTTCAGGAAGAGTCTGATGGGGCCACCTTGGCCACACTCCATCCCTCCCCGGGGGTTAAAAGGATGAGGATGGGAGGGGTACCTGCAGAGTGAGGCCCCTTCCTTCCATGTCCTCGGGATCCCAGGGGTTTCCTCAGAGGAAAACAAGGTGCCATTCCCAAAGGTGGGAGCAGTATTCTTGAGCAACAGAAACAAGAGACCTGATGGGAAGCTTTGACTACACTTTTTTGGTGACATCCAGTCGCTTCATTCCCCCGAGTGATTTCTCCAGAGATAGGAGTCAGATTTGCCGTCCCTCTTGAATCACTGGAGGGCGAGTGGTGAGCTGAAACTGGTTTGCTTCAGATTTGTCTGTTTTCTCTAAGGCCGACTGCCCTGTAATGTTTCACTAGCAGTTTTGGCCAACTCATAAAATACCTTTTCAAAATTAAACAACTATCCATGCAAACTCTGGACTCGACACTCTTTTCTTGTTTGCATGCATCATTCAGCACATTGGTTAAGTGCCTCCCCTATGTTTGCACTGCCCTAGATGTTGCGATATAGCACACAATTCTTTTTGCTGAGTCCCACCATAGGCCTGCTCTATTTTAGGAGCTGGGGCATTGTAAAGAACAACCAAGGCCTCTCACTCTGAATGGAACATGATTGCATCCCAGTACTTGGCTCAATAAATATTTGTTGAGTGAATAATTGAACGACAGCAGCTTGTGCGGTGTTGCTCAAGTGCAGCTTTTCCATGGCATGCACGAATGATGTGGCAGTGGCACTTAAGTATTTGATTTTCTTTTTTTTTTCCTGTCCTGCATATGCCTTTTCCTCCAACTCTCAGAAATCATGAGTAAATTCTTGAAAGACTCCAAACTACACTAGTTTTCTGAGGAAATGCTAGTGTTTTCTCTGCCATGGAGAAATCAGAAAATATGGTGAAGCCAGACTGCCTTGCAAACCAGAAGCTGATGGGTGTGAGTCACCATGTGCTCCGGGATGGCTACTCCTCCGAAATCAGGGGGTCAGGAGCTCTTGGCAAACATCAGACGTTGCTGCCTGTGGTGGGTGGTGTTGGCATCCACTCAGGCAGTAGGTACCATCTAGCTTCTCTCTATAAAAAGGAAAGCTTGCTGTTCTCCTGAGAATGATGTCAGAAATTGGAAGTGGAACTGCCAAAATACAGTTTCCCCACCTAGAGGCAGAAGCTGGAGGGTTTCATAGGGTGATTATTTCTAGAAAGGCCCAATTTCCCCCAAACAGGGAAATCATGAAAATAGTTAACTGAGGGAAGATAAACATTATGAAAACACACATATAATAATCCTTAGAAAACAAGGACATAGAAAACTGACTGACATCACTTAAAAAGAATGAATTAGTATGATGCATAATAATCTCTGAGACATAATGCTTTTCTTTTAATAGCCCAAACATTTATTTACTAACCAAAGAGATGAGCCTAATGAAACCAACACTTTGAAATAGTTGCATGTAAAATATTTATGATAAAGGTAATTGAAGACAGTAATGAAAAAATAAAAACAGCATGGGGATTTTTCTCATTGAACTGAGATTGCTCATCCTTGAAGCTAATTCTTGTCCAAAATGATGATAGAATCTTAATTCTTCTCTTGCATAGACCTGAGTGCAAGTGACAATATTTATGATGCTTCCACCACTAACTTCTCATCTTCCAGTTTTCTTATTATTGTGCTTTCCTTCCCAATCCATTCTTGACCTTGAAACAAAGTGCTGTTTGTAGTGTTGCAGAGTCTGAGTTTTTGGCCAGCAATTATAGTTTCTTCAAGCTTCTCTCCCAGAATAGAAACCTGTGTTGTTTGCAAAGTGGTCTCAGTTTTTATTGTGAGATGATTTCCATCAACACCGTGACAGACTGGTTTGGCCACTACAACCTTTTTTGCAGAATTATTCTGACACCTAGTCCATCCATCTATTCTTCAAGGCTCTTGCTGCTCTTAAGCACCATCTTCCTGGCAGGGCAGCTGCTGGCAGGTGGTGGGTGCAGAGGGCATGTGGAGAGTGCAGAGCAGAGTCGGCTTGGTGGAGTGACTTTCTAAGACATTAAATGGGAAAAGTTTGCAGATGGTGGTCACAAATATGATAAAATCCTACAGGCACGTGGTTTTACTTGTATATATGTTTTATTCACACATACATGGCAGATATATATCTTAGTATGTGTGTCCAGAAAAAGATTTTCACCATACCAATAATAATGATTGATCTGGGCAGGGGGAACTTTAACTGTAAGGTTCCATTTTCTGGAGGAATGGTTCATTCATAAACTTAGAATTCATTTTAAGAGCAGAATATCTGTTAGGGTCGGCAAACACTATGATTTGTAGGAAGACAGAACACCCACCTCCCTTTCAAGTTGGTTAATAGACATGGCCCTATGACCTCCTACAAACACTCTGTCAGAAGCAGCCCAAAGGATGCTCATGAGCCCAAAGGATGCTCATGCTTTATAGGGGTGCACATGTGAAAGGAAAGATTGGCACATGCAAGTGAAGTAGTGCTGGAGCTGACGTCTGCCCTACTGGCCTCGGTTATTTGGACTTAACCAGCAGCACTGAATTCTGGGAGTGCTGTCATGAGTTATGGCTTCCAGAGCACCTCATTTGAGTCACACCGTTGTGTGCAATAGGGCTGCCTTCATACATCCTATTACACACCCTTTCTATTCTCAACAAGAAAGTTAAGTTTCCTGAAAGTTAAGGAACATATCACAGATTCCATCAGTAAAGGGACAGAGGACTTGTATTTTTCAGGAAGTTAGTGTTTTCTCTAATTGCTCCATTTTCAACAAGTCAAAATTGTTAATAGTAGCTGTCAGACCCCTCGTTTCATCTTCTTGCTGGCTGAGTTTACATGTTGGCAGTCCCCTATAACTTCTTTTCATGTGGAACTAGGTGATGGACTCAGATTCAAAAATCCAACCCCGGAACACAGTGCCTCCCCCCAGGGGAGTGGGTACCACCAGAATCACTCAGCGCCCTCCCAGCACAGTTGCAAGGGAAAATGGCCCGGTGCTGGGCTGACACCACAGCCCTGTACTGTCTGGGGTAGTTGGTAGGGAAGACCTATCTTTTCTCCCAACAAGGCAGAGTCCTCAGGGATCTTACTCTTCTTTGTTCCTCAGTTGCTAGCCTCTTGATGAATATGCATGTGATAAGTTCCTTCACCTCATTGAGTAGCTAGAGTGGTATGCAGTAACACTTTTTCTTTTTTTTAAAAAAAATTTATTTATTTATTTATTTATTTATTTATACATATAGAGCTGGGGTACAGGCCAGAGGTACAGGGGTGGTGAGAGGATTCACCAGAGACAGAGTGGGGAACAGAACAGGCCGACTGATGAAGTACACTGTGAAGGGGAGCAGCGGATGGGCCAGGAAAGGTCTGCTGCCTATATAGATCACCTCTGGGGCTGGGGATCGAACTCATGCTGAAGTGACTTTAGCTTCTTAGTGCTGTGCTTTAACCCGCTGCACCACCAGAGAGGGCCCAGTAACACACTTTTTAAATTCATTCACTGCCCATGAGAACTGACACCTCTGAAAATAAACTCTTGCTGCTCTTCCTCCCAGCCCCCAACACCCTCAACCAGTTCCTCCCATACACTTCTTATTTCAAAAACTGGTGATTCAATCTTCATTGTTTGTAAACCCCAAATCTTAGAGCCACTCCTTTCTTTTGTAAGTCCCCACTGTCAATCCTTAAGTAAATCTTGTTAGCTCTGCCTTCAAATTCCATCCAAAATCCCATCATTTCTTACCATCTCCACTGGCCCAAACCACCATCCTCTGTCACTTGGATCATTTGTGTAACCTTCATTTGTACCCTCTAAAACAAGCCTTGGCTCGTTATTCCTCAAGACAGCAGTCAACGGGGCTCCATCAAAATGTGAAAAAGACGCTTACTGATGACCCAGTAACTCAACTGCCAAATACTTACTCAATAGATGATGCTTACATAGGTCAGGGGTGCTCAGGACAGAGCACTGTAACTGCAACCACCAAAGGCTGGAATGAACTTAAATGTTCATTGGATCTGATCAAATGCGGGCAAATAACCAGCCCTCTGTGGAATATTCAGCCGTTCAAGTGATCTGGGAAGTTATATATGTACTGACGTGGAACAGCCTCCAAGGTACACTGAGAGAAACCGGCTAGAATGGTGCAGAAATGTGTGGGATAAAACACTCTATGGTGAAAATGGAAGGGCCACTCACAGGTCTCTGCAAGCAGACAGAAATAAATCTAACAATAACTCTGGAAAATTGCGAGACGCTGTTAATAAAGTTTGCCTTTTCTGAGGGAGTTACTTAAGGACTGGGGAACTTGGAAACATTTTAAAAAACTCATCATGAATACTGCACTCAAAAAAAAAATTCCCCTTCCAATAAGCCAGAAACAAAAAGAAAAATACCAGCCAGTTTCACTCATAGCAGGAGCATAAAGTGGGAGGAGGATGGGGAGGGGGGAGGAGGGAGGGGAATAATAATGAACAACTATATTCCAGAGACATTTTACCAGTGTGAAGAGGGGAATAGGATCAAAACTGGGGTGGAGTGCATGGGGATTACAACTGAGATGGAAAGAGGCACACAATGATGTAAAAATAAACTATTATAATAATAATAAAAAAATCCCCCTTCCATCATGCGTCAAACCATACTCTTCTGCTAACTTTTACTCTGTGTGGGGCTGACTTGTTAAAAATACACTGTGAATCCCGCTTTGATGACGTGAGGTCTGGGGGCGGGCTGGAGGATCTTTTATTTCCTCGGGGAGTGAAGCCAATAAAACGTATGAATAGATTCCGCCGAGCCTCGTGCTCTGTGACTCCAGGGCTTGCTCCCTCCCGGTGGTGCTGAGCAGCCTGCCATCCGGCTGGAGTCCCTGCTTTCTCCTTAGAGGGCAGCAGCGGAGCGTCTCGGGGACGCATGCGCCCCGATTTACGCCCGGGGAATTAAAAGAAAGCGAGAGGAGAAAAAAACCCCAGCAGAACACGCGCCCCAAACAAACAAGTGCAGGAAATCGTGCGGCGGGCAGACCCTGGGCAAGGAGGCGCCGCCGGCCTTGCCCGCGTCGGCTGCGGCGTGATGCGCACTGACTGGCCCGCGACGCCCGGGCCGCGACTGTCCCCTACCTGGACGCCCGCCGGCTGGCCGCGCCCCAGCCGCGCTCGCTTGCCGCTGCCGCCGCTTTCTCGGAGTCTCTCAGCACCCGCGGGGCACTTCGCTCTCCATGGGGCTGAGGGACTGTCTGAGGACCGTGTGCTGTTGTTGCTGGTGCAAATGCCTGGAGGAGCCCACCGTGCAGGAAAAGGAGCCTCTAGTCAGGTGAGCGCCCTGGCCGCGATCTGGGGGTACCTGGCTGGAGCTGGGTATGGCAGAGTGTGGACACCTGTGAGTTTGTCAGGGTGGGGGAGTTGGGCTTGCTTTCAGGTCACACTGAAGTGCTCACGAAATACCTTGGACTCCAACAGGATATCCTGTTCTTGGATTTGGTGCTTGGGTAGGACTTTTGCCAGAAAGCACTTGTCCACGGAGGCAAAAGCACTTGTCCACGGAAGCACCGGAGACCCAGGTGAATGTCAGTGGAAAGTGCCAAAAATTCTAGCGCAGTGTTCGGGGAGGGGAGTGCGCAAAACCAGTTTGCAGAGGGCTCCGGTTAACGCCGACAGTGACTCACTGTATATTTATAGGTAAATGTCAGAGGTATTGGCAATTGCATTGCTGGTTCATCCAGCAAAATGTTGACTACTTTATCATTCAGTTTTATTACCAAAAGAAGACGATTTTAATAACTGAGCACACGAAATATTTTTCACTTAAAAAGGTGCTTCTTTTCTCAAAGGACAGCCTATTCACTAGGATGTTGGTTCATTACGGACTGGGCAATGAAGTGAGAAAAAATGTACTGTACATTAGCATGGGGCTCAGGGGTTTTGTGAAGGAGCCATGCCCCACAGCTCCACAGCTCTACTTACAGCTGTGCTTTGAAGCAATTATTTTACGTGTTGCCTCTACTAAAATAAAGGTGCCACTGGGTCATGTCTTGGGGGTGAGCTGGGCAGGAGCAACATAGTCAAAAATGAACTTAAAAACAGTAGATGAGGCAGAAATCTAGGATTGGAGAAGCAGCTAGTAAAGCCAGTGTTTCTTAGGAAGTGTGAAACTAATGCCATCAAGCTTTCATAACTTCTTAAAAGCACAATTTACTGTTTTGTTTTTTTTTTTCCTCTGTCATCCAAACATCCCCTTTGACTTTGGAGATCCTACATAACTCATTTGCCTTTGCTCTTGTTTTCCCTACCTCAAACATCAGACAGGCTTTGCTCTGGGAACAATCCAACCTTTTATTCCTGCATATTTGCCTCAGGTAGTGAGTGACCTTGCCCCTTCCTGCCCCCTTCCTAAATGCTGCTTTTCCTTTGCTTTTATTTGTTTTTAAGCCTCCTGTGACTTAGGATTTAGAGTTTACCTTCCATGCCTTGCTTGTTGGGGAGCACACTTGCATGTAAACATGTTTGTTTTGTATATAGAGTCATACATACCATCTACATATTTCTTTTGTTTTCCCTGAAGGCCACCCCCTATGATTATGAGATTGTTGTGGAAAGGGAGAAACCCAATGATCAATGCGGAGTCTTAAAAAAGAGGGGGAAACTGTCTCAAATCTTACACCTGCATGGAATTTTCAACTTGTCAATGTTCACAGTGCCATGAGATCTAAGCTTCCTCTTGGTCTCTGAAGAGCCTTGGACGGTGCCAATTTTCTATACGGAATTGTTATTTGAGTTGGTAGGTTTGATTGTTTTAAAATCTGCACCCACTTCTGCCTGGATTTTCACCATTTGTGACTTTTTGCAAGTGATTTTAAGAAGACAGTATTGGGGCAGCATTGCATAGTACTCCTGAGTCAGATCACTGAGGGTTAACTCCCAGCTGGGTAGCTTGGCACAAGTTGTGAAACTTATTTGGGCCTCAATTTCCTCAACTGTAAAATGGGAAGATAATTGTATGTACTTCAAAGGGTTGCAGTGAGAAATGTAATGAGATTGTCCACATAAAGAGTGTCTGACACTCCATAAATTTTAGTTATTAATTATCATTGTTTTTCCTCTGAACATGTGACTGTAAATGGACTGGTCTTTTGTGCTTTAGTGTCATTCTGGCATCACTTCAACACAGGAGTATTTGGGAAGAGCCACTTCTCATGGGCATGTGCAGTACTGATAAGTACGTGTATGGGTGTCTTTCCCACCCAAGTTATGAGACGGTGGAATTTGTAACTCTTTGCATGTATGTGTGATTATTTTGAGTTTTTAGTGTGAAGTTCAGTGATTTTCATTATAGTCACAAAGTTGTGTGATCATCAGGCATAGCCTGTCATTTCATTATTACTTTGATGGAATGATGTCAATGTTACTCAGAGAGTTTAAATAATTTATTCAAAGTCACAACCGATGAGACAGGAACAAGACAAGGATCTCTGGCTATCTGACTTCAAAGTTCATGTCCTAACACTATAAAATTTAGAAAAATATCGAATAACTTCAAAGGTCACTTAAGACACTGATAGGCCATATACTGATAGATGTCAGTAGCCTGAGCTCCTGCCTCCTCTAGCCTTTCTCCTTCCCTTCCTCCATGTGCTTCAGCAGGTGGGGAGGGAATCTATAGCCCAGTGAACCAAGCCAGACTCAGGAGACCTGAGTCCGCGTCCCAGTTATTAAGTGGCTGTGGGATTTTAGGCACATCTCTTAGCTTTGATGTATGCTAGTTTCTTCTGTAAGCTAGGAAGATCCAGCTTTAATGCCAGGACATGAAGGGCCCTTCCAGACTTGGTATAGATTGCCCTCTTTCTCTGCCTTGTGTCAGCTAGAATCCTGTTTGACATGGAACACGGTGGCAGAGAGGTGCTTGTATGGGGGGCTGGAGTGAAGGCCCGGATGTGAATCCTCACCATCTACCCAGTATGGGAGCTGCCCAGACTGCTCCACCAGTGACTAGTTGAGTTGACATGTCTAGTGCAGGAAGCTTAAGAACAAGTCTGGGCTTGGAGACTTGACAGTGGCCTAATCTTAATGCCAGATTTTAGTCCCAAAGAGAACCAAAGGTTTTGTTCAGTCTCTGATTCACAGACTTGCTGTTTTCTCACCTGAGTTGCATGAAGTCCTTCTTCCAGTCATCTCTGTCCGGCTCCGTGTGCCACTCTTCCCACCACTGACCCCATTCCTACAGCAGAACAGTGATCAACACCAATCAACAAAACAGGAAAAACAAGGGATGGGCAACAAAATCACTTGGATTGTTCTGGGGTGACTGGGTCATTGGTCATCTGTCCATCAAGTAGTGAGGACTTCTGGCTCAAGGTTTGATGTTACCAGTTGAAAGAAACCTAAGGAGGCCTATTGCTGATCTTTTGAGACTGTTGAAACATATGACCATGAACTTGGTTGCTTAAAATAATAGTTATATTCTTTCACAATTCTGAGAGCCAAAAGTCTGAAACGGGAGGCTTAGGGAGGCTCTAAGAGCATCATCCCTGACTGATTCCAGCTTCTGGTGCCTCCTGAGATCCTTGGATCTTGGTGGGTGGCACAGTGCCAGTCTCTGCCTCCCCTTCTCCCATATACCTCTTCTCTTCTGTGTCTCAAACTGCCTTGTCTTTTTTGGGAACCTGGGCATTTGGAGGTTTGAGTGAGATTATGTCTCACTTGCCAGGACACTGAGGCACAGAGCTTCAATAAGTTGTGCAAGGGCACACTTGACTGAGCTGGGATTCAAATCCTGTTGTATTTTAGTGCCATAGAAATAGGAGCGGTCCCTTCCATCCCTAGAATGTGGGGGGTGGGGGAGGGTGGGCTGTGACTAAGTTACTGCTATGAGTGTGTGCCTGAAATTGTGTTTGAAGTATAAGACACCCTGAATTGGTATAGCCTGCAATCCAGAGACAGTGGATCCACTTTTCTGTATTGCGACTGGTGAAACGAGGTACCAGGTAGGCTGAAGACATTTAAAAGAGACGCACCACCAACTCTCAAAGGAAATTCATCTTTTCGTAGTGTGGACTCACAGGACCTCTCAGTGTATCAGCTCACCCTCTACCCCTGGAAGGGCTTTAAAAGAAAACACTAGCCCATGTGTGTGTGCCAGTGAGCTGGCTCACGTGGGGGCCCAGATGGCTCCCCCAGCTGGCACCAGCTTCCAGCAGCACCTGCAAGACAAAGCCTGCAGCCCTGGGCCAGGCAGCGATTGCCAGGAAATGACTGCGGAGGCACCAAGTTTCCTCCTGCAGCCTGAGAAGTCTCCCAAGGCTTAAACTATTACCTTCTGAAAGGGGAGATTCAGGGGAGGCCCCAGGGTGCTAGTCCCAGAATAGGGCTTCAGACCCATTGAGTAGAAGGCGAGTGCCTTACCGAGAAGTCAGCCATTCACAGTTCCTACAAGGATGGTGTTTAAAGGCCGTTCCAAGGCACCCCAAGTATCACTACTCCTCTCCCTCCACCCACATGACTCACACAGTCTCAGTGACTTTGGAAATTCCGTAGAAGGTGAAATACTTTCTTTTAGCATCATTCTGGGGTTCCTGGAACTTTGTATCCTTTCGATATCTTGAAGTGTTCTTATGATGATATCTTTGTTTGGAAAGTAAATTCTGTATAGATGCTGGACAAAATAGCCAATTCTGTTATTAGCGGAGGTTCATTTCAGCCTGGTTAACAATTCTCGGTTTGTGCCTACTCTATACCATGTACTCCAGTCTTCTGTGCTTTCTTTAGAAGATAATTTTGGTGAGATTGTTACAGGGCACCCCAGTGTGAACTGGGCCGCCTGTCTGTGGGGTCTCACCCCGGCTCTTAAAATTCTGTTGTACTGCAGACACATACAAAAGGGTCAATAGTGGGTTTATTTACAAAAGGGGAAAAGAAAAGGAAACAACCCAGGGAAAGAGAGAGGGATACAAAGTAATTGGAATATCTTACCCACTGACTGACTTGGAGCTCTGGTAACAAGCTGACTGACTTGGAGCTCTGGTAACAAACTAACTGAAAGCCGGGAGTCATAGGATGCCCAGTGTCGTTTCCTGAGCAAGTTCCTGAGCAAGTGAGTCATAGAAAATGGCGTCCTATTTATCCCCCAAGGTCCCAGAATGCCTGCTTAGCTCCGCCCTTGGGTCCTCGCAGTTCTCTCCCTGGTACTGCTGGGAGTTGTAGTTTCCAGTTACTGGAGTAGGGGGTAGAGTCTAGAAAGCTGGAGAAGGGGGTGGAGTCCACAAAACTCTGCAGAGTTCCTTTAGGACATCCTTCCCCTTAACAAGATGTCTATCTAAA